GGGCCTCTCTCATCTTTTTAAGTGGGAGAACTTGCACAATTGGTGGCTGACTAAATACTTTTTTGCCCCACTGTAAATATGCTTGTCCTGAGTGGAAATATTATGGGTTTCCCCTCCAAATGAGGTGAGATTAATAGGGCCCTGGTGAAGATGTTTTTCAGTGGTGGCTACCATTCTATGGAGTAGCTTCTTCTTGCCAGTCAAATCAGCAATCACCTTGGCTTCACTTTGGAAGGCGGACAAGATGGAGTTGTTATTCAGAAGGGCTTTTGAAAGTTGAGGTTGCTTGACTAAGGGGGTTGGCACTATCTGATATTAAAGTGATGGTCTGACCTGTTTTTATGTTTTATGGCACTTATGCTGTGTTTTTATCTGTAGTGTCCTATGCTCTGATTTTTGTAATCTACCAGAAGTCTTCAGATTGTAGTGGTATAGAATTATGAAGAAATAAATGTATTCTTGGAAATCTGGAACAGCAGCAGAGAGGAGAGCATTGTCTGCCCACCAACGTTTCACTCATGTCAGTTGTTAATGCTCTGGGCAATTACAGAAGAATAAAAACCAATTACTTCAACCCCATTTTTTACCAACCTTTGCCAGCTATATAACAGATGGTCTAAAGGGAAGAATAACTTAATAAGAATAATTTAATTTAATAACTTAAATAAGAAAAATAAGAAAAATTCAATGAAGCATTTGCTCTCTCTGGGAAAAGAAAAAGAATTTGGCAAGCCTCCTATTAATCTGTTTGTCTGAAGGGAGGAATAACTTTAATCCCTCCCAGTGATGCCTATTGATCGAAGGAGAAGATTGGCAGCTGTGCCTTATTTCTGACTTGTCTTCAGGTAAAATGACTTCCTTGGCAAACCTTATCTTACAGAGACTGAGATGGAACTCGAAACCCTTTAATTTTTTAGATTGTCATTTTCATTTGCACAAATTCTTTTGTTTCCTTTAGTACCATTTGCTCATACTTGAGTGTTGTTTTCATTCACTGACCTCTCCAGAGTTTTTTTTTTTTTGAGTTAGGCAGGCTATTCAAATGGTAAAATAATCAACAAATAAATAAATAACGGAAATAAATATTGTGAAGCTTGCATCATATAAAAAGGGTACATTTTCCTTACCATTTGTAAAGGGTTCTCTCCATTAGGCCTCAACTGTAAACAATGTGAATAAAATTAAATCCGGTTTAAAATTAGGCTCTCAGAAAAATGGTGTGTGCTTCTAAAGTGAACTTTCACGTTGCAAGCTAGACTAGATATATTTAAAGTTCCAGCTGGTATATTTTAATCTGAGCATCCTTGCCTATGACCACAATCATAGGCTGGAGGGGAAGAGGAGGCCAAGACCAACTACAGAGCATCTGTATAAGCAGGGAGAACAGGGAGGAGGACGACTTGGCAGAGGACTTGTCCTGGGACCCAGAACTGGGACAACTTGTGAAAGCACAAGCATCTGCAGGGGGGCAAGGGGAGGCAGATGGCAAAATGTGTATCATGAGAGCACGATGCAAACCCTGTGACTGACGTACTGGCATCCAGTCTCGGGATACAAGTACAAAAGGCCAGGGTGTGTGATGATACAGTATCACAAGGCACATTTCTCTCAGCCTATGCCCCAAATGGCATCTGATTCTAATTTTTTTCTGAAATGAAAGGAAAAATAAAATTTGCCTCAACTCAAGATTGACTTCTGATGACTCCATGGGCACTTCCTGTAGTTTTCTTTAACAACCGTATGGAAATAATTTAATGTGGCCTTTTTTCTGGCATTGTTTTGGGCTTTCCAGTCTGGTCCACGGCCCTGAGATTTGCTGGTGGCTTCCCATCCAACCGTCAGGTCTGCCGAGGTTTTCAGAGGTCTGTCAAGATTGGAGAGGCGCTGCCACCTGCTACGGTTGACTGGGGCAGCAGGATACACATAACTGGATATGCTGACTAGGTAGGAGATGTGTCTGGTGGGGTGAGGTGGATGCATAAAACCAGTCCAGGATCAAACTTATCTATCTGTATCCCTAGCACCCAAAATGGTCTTGACAACTACAGTTGACACACACACACACACACACACAGAACCTTTGGTTTATTAAGATTTAAATTGCTACACTAAATTGGCAGTCCTTTGCTGCTGAAATGTGTTGACTCTTGCATCAGAAGCCTTGTCCCCTCGCTGTATTCTTTTGCACACAAAGATGGAGTCCCATTCAGAAGGCGATGTTTACATGGAAACCTGTTTCCATATGTACTGGGTAGAAGGACAATGGATACACTGTAATTTCAATTCTAATATGCTAATCGCAATTTAATTTTAATGAGAAAACACTGCCTTTAATTACATTTAAACAAGCCGATGAATTTTATCAAGCAGAGATGTAAACGATTTGGAATCTGTATGTCTCAAGTCTTCTAAGATGTTCTAGCGAACATTTCTGAACCCAGTACAAACATTTCCAGAGGTTGCTTCCTAGTTTGGCACTCCCTTTCCACTTGAAAGCAACCAAGGGATGAATGTTTTCCTGGATTAAAAATAGCTCTCATTATTTAGGATGGCACTTAGTGGCTAGGGATAGGGCAAAATCTTATTTTAGCAACATAAATCTCACCATGTAAAGGTCTCTCTCTCCCTCCCTCTCTCTCTGTATATATGTCCAAGTCATCATGATCATCTCTGTTATTAGAAGAAAATCAGACTTTGATATGATCAGGCAGATTTGGAGGCAGTCTTGCTAATTTTTAGTAATATTTAGGACTGAAGAATTAATCATTTTCAAAGTTTTAAAAGACGTGTGTGCAAACGCATTTATACATGCGTGCATACTCATACATATTAGTGCTCAGAAAAATATACAAAGCAGCTGAAGTATAGCAACAAGATCAGTCCAAAAGCCAAGCACTTAAACCCAGCACAGATGACTGTATTTACATCATTGTGAATGACACAGACTTCCTTTCAAAAACCAAAGTTTCCACCTATTCCCAAAGTGTGTTATTAATTCTCATGGTATGTATCATAGCAAAATGATTGCATTTTTGAGCTTGGTTTCTTTCAACATGATCCAGTATCTGCTTTCTAAACCACTTGTTTTTATATCTATTACATATAGCAAGCACTGAAGTCAACTAAAGAGCAACTCGGATGGACTGCTTGTGTCAAAGAAAGATTGCCAACTGTAAAATATGGACGTAATTTTATAACATTATTTTATAATTAAAGTAATAAGTGAGGTTTCCTGCTGTTGTTTAAAGATGTGTCATGATACATTTAAATCATAGATAAAACCGTAGGAAAACGCTACTAAGTAACATGTTGGCAGCGATGATGGTACAGAGGGGAAAGAGCAGGCGAAGGACACGTGCAAACAATTTCGTGGGACTAGTTCTGTTTACGGCATGTAGGTTCTGTTTTAGGAACTCTGACCACTCAGAAAGTATTTTCATTCATGCCAGAATGAGGTTTTGCTTGTTTGTTATTGAACATGTATATGGAGAGACTATTGTTTTTACTGGCAAAGAAATGTAGTATGTTGGTTTTGTGTGCGAAATAAATATTTTAACTAAATTATGAAGAATCCCTTAAAGGAATGTAGAAACTATAGCAATTTGGGTGGAATGTTGCACCTAGTTTGTGTGTGTATGTACGTGCATATATACATACATAGTTATGTATATTATTATGTATATCTTGTATGCATATATACTTCTATATACATATATACATACTTATATACTAAGCAACTGAAGATAATGGTCAACATTTAAGGAGTCACATAGTGAGTTCCATGTCCCATGTATACAATTTCTGATTCCCCAATGGCAGTCCCTCCATGTTACGCAGTGAACCATCACTTTTGAATCTGAAGGGATTTTCAGAGATGTTTTGTAGAATGATATGGTGGAATTTGTATCCTTTAAAAACGAGTGAGGTGGGGGGAAGAGAGCAAGAACCTCACTGGGTGTGCCCAACCTATAGGATGCACCTTGAATTATGAACAAGAGTTCCTATCTTTATCTAAAATAATGCACCCTGTATTTATGAATCCGGAAGACAAGAAGTGTTGTTACTGATTAGATTGATATGTTATCCTATGCCATTCAGTTTCAGGGCTGTGAATAACCCACACATCCATCACTAAATCTGTAATAAAACAACACAAGATGGTTTAAGTTAAGGTCAGCTAATATTTCTAAAAGTCCTGGATGGAAAAAACACTAAAAGCCTCAAATGTGTTACTACTTAAATCTTCCACGGGAAGGAATTTTACCGCTGAGGCTTCATATCATCCCTCTCTTTAGTTGCCATTCACTTCACTTGACAGGGATTGGGAGATAACTTTATAAATGGGTAGATCAGATAGGAGAGGAAGCATTCTTTTAGTTCAACACAATCTCATATAAGCAAAGACAGATTGGCATCAGATATGATCACCATTTTTAATGCAGTGGGTAAATATATAAGAGTGCAATGGAGGTTTTGCCTTTGCTTGTGATGCCATGGCTTAGCCTCATAGTCATCTTTATCAAATATAGGATCTAGTAGAATCAGACAATTTCCAGTCAAATATGGGATCCAGTAGAATCACAGACGATTTCCACAAACTAGCCTTCAGAAAGGACTTAGATATGCAATTCAGGCTTTTTTCCCCCTTGAATAAATGCTTGAGAGTCCAGTTAGGTTTGATTGTGGTGATCATATTTGTTAATATTTCCATCCCAGCTGTGTTTTCACTTTTCTATTGCAGAAGGGACATATGAAGAGAAGAGCAACATTTTTTTCTGTACACTTCTCTGCAATCTATTGTTCTGACCCTTTATGCTTTGCCAGCTTGCTTCTGGTATCTGACCAAATTGGAGAAAGTTTGGGTGGCTGACGGTGATGAAGTAAAGAGTGGGAAGAGTTCAGGTCATTCTATTTTCACATAAAAATTAAAGGCACGTACCATTTTATATGTGAGTGGAATATTAGGAACTCATTTTTGATGAGAGTAACCATAGGATCACATGAAAGCTATATCTTTAATAGCTGCCTTCTCATCTATGTTTCTTAGTGAGACCTCTGACTACAGCAGCCAACTGACCCTATTTCACTGCCAATACTGAGCTCATCAACCTATTGCCCATTTTTTTTTAAAGAAATAGTGAATATCTGAGTATTTGCACCACGCAGCTTCCTGACTGCAGATGAACTGAAAGGCAGATGCATTGCTTATTTCAATTCAACTCTATGGGAATTAAACTCTTATTTCAAAGGTTTCAGATCTGGTTGGGTAATGTGATCACCTTGCTGGGAAAATTAAAGGAAATATGAACATGAATTAAGCATGTGGGGATAGGATATGGCTTTTTTGTTATTAACTCTGCAAGTTTCTTGCTCTTATTTCCTAGTAGTTTACATAACATTGCTGGAATTTCTTCACTGTTGTTTTTCTTTCTTCCAAGAATGAGCACACAGTGATCTTTGCTTACTCAATACCTGGTCTTTTTCCAGCAAAAGAAAATATAAGTTGATCTAGTTCATTTCCAGTATTTGTTGTTCTAACTTGCTAATCTAGTTTGCTTCCACTAATTATTGTTCTATCTTCTATAGGAAATAAATGGATCTTTGACTATGTGTTAAAACCCTAAGCTCAGAATTTCAATAAGCCTGTCATAAGGTCTACAAACTGACCTTATATTTGTTGGCAATATAGTGATTTAAACTAGTTCAGCCTTTTTTTTCTCACCCTGGTGCCCTCCAAATGTGTTGGGAGTGCAATCCAAAATATTTCATACATTTTAAATACTTATATTCTGTCTTTAAAACAAACGTTTTCCCAGGGTGACTTCCAATAATCTAAAATTATGATTTCAAATTTAAATTAACGCAGTACCTAAAATATAAAAAATACATTAATGATATGTAACATTTATCATTTATAGAACAAGCAGTAAAACAGCAGCAAGGAAGTGAGTTAGAAGCTCCACTGCAATATAAATATGAATATGTAAATATATTTACAGCTGGGAAAACAGCAAAGTTTTCCCCTGGTGCTACAGAAAAAATAAAGGCAGATCATAGTGGAGGGCATTCCAGAGGAAGTGGGTCACCACTGAGAAAGCCCATTGTAGGACCATCACCTGCCATGGAGCCCCCAAGCAGACCTTCAGAGGATCATCTAAAGGTTCACACAGGAACTTAGGACAAAAGGTTTCTTCAGATACTGTGGCTCCAAGCTGTGAAGGACTTTGTAGATAGAAATCAGCACATTTAGCTGGGACCAGAAATCAACTGGGAGTAGTGAAGATGCTATAATATGGCATAATATTCTGACACTATTTAGTGTTATCTCTAAAAAAGACTTTGAGCCAACATCAGTGAAAGAGAACTCAGAATGGTGTTAACTGGAAACGAGAGGCACGTTCACATTTTATCATATATTTGGCATACCAAACTCCTGGGAACAGGTAAACAGACTCCTGGAGATTAAAAAAACAAAAACAAAAACAGATTCTGAAAGAACAAGGATGCTGGCTGGAGAGAGAATCATTTAAAGCAACAGCAAGTAAATTAGTGTGCAGAGCAGTTTAGCACTAACTGGCATGATTATAAAAGCTCTGAAACAAAGGCTTCGGTGGAGCTTCTTTATCCAAATAGAGGACCCCCTTGCTCTTGAGCTAGATTCTTGGACAGCTCTAGTAGCAACAGCCAGGTGAATGATTGGAGGAATGAGAGTGAAAGCGAGGGCAAAAAACATTCTACAGTACTTCAATAAAGCTTTGTAACTCTTGGAACCCTGCGTGCGCATAACTTGCTAAACGAATGTAGCTGCTTTTCTAAATAGTTCCAAAGGGAAAAGAGGGAAAGGAGTCCCTCTAAGGGTTCTGTATGTCTTATCCTCTCATAATTCCCCATCCTCTTTACCAAAGCTATGCAAGTTTAGCACCTTCAAGTTGCACAGTCACTGTCACTTGGGAACAGTTGATCAAAGCCAGTGGGAGAAGCTTGAGCACATGCTAAAAGAAGAGAGAGAAAGGAGAGCACTTGCATCATATGCTGGACTCATAAAACCATAGGGTTAGTCAGAATTTTAAAGGAAAATTGTGCAACAGTGTAACTATAATGTCTAGTTCCAATCAATCCACATATTTTATACTAAGTTTCTGGACCTTTTTGAAGGGCAGATATAACTGCACTAACCTAAGCAAGAAGTTAGCTGGGTATGGATTATGGAAGCAAGAATTAGCCAAATTGAGCCACAGCTGACCTACTAGTTTGAAGGGGTAAAAGTAATTTTGTGCTACTAATAACACCTTTAAACTACAAATGTGATCCTTTAGGAGGAGTACTTTCCAGAATAGGTTGAATGCCAGGTACCTGGACAGATAAACCAATCACTAACAGAATCTCTGAGTTGTCTGTCTTGGATTTCAGTTCATTTAGTCCATCAACACAGACATCAATTTAGCACCTCTACTGTCTTATCAGTGGATTGGATGAAAAGGAGAGATATAACAAACATGCATGTCATCATTACATTAAAACCCTGAAAGATATCATTTAGCAGTTTCATTTAGATACTGAACATCATCAAACCCACAGAAACCCACAGTGTAAACAGAATGGAGTTGAGCAGACATCTCCCAGCATTATCAACCAAATGTAAATGAAATATCTCAAAGTTGCCCCCCACATCTAACTCAGATAGACGCTGCAGAAGGATACTATGTTTGATGGTATTCAAAGCCATTGAGTGGTCCAAGAGAATCAACAGGGTCAACTCTCCTGCCTTTCTCCAGCAAAGATCATCCCACAATCTTAGTTATCAAGACAGTTCCAGTGCCAAAACCAAGCCTAGATCTGCTTGAAATGGATCTGCCAAGTAGGTTTCTTCCAGGATTTATCAGAGTTTGATCAACCATCACTAACTCAAGCACCTTATACAGAAAGGGGATACAGGTAAGCAATTGATTGTTATTCCAATCTTCTGGATCCAGCTTTTTTCCCCCAGGAGTTATTTCACTATTGCCTAATGAAATGAGTCTGGGATCACTTCTTGTAAGGAGGAATAAATAATATACTGGACCAATCTGATCTTCCTACTAGATATAATAAGCCACGAAGATCAACAAATAGATGGTCAAAAACTACTAACTGCTTTATCCAAATCAATGGCCTTAAAATCTGAAAGCCATTCAAAAAATCTGACCAGAAAGAGCCCAGGTCACCTCTGCAAATTGAACTGCCCCCACTGCATGATGTGTATAATCAATATTTTTCTCAAGCTGTCTGAAAAACATAATGAGACATCAAGTGTAGACTTGATAATGTTCTCTTACTAGTATTTGGTCAAATTTAAGATGAATTTTCCACCATCTATTTTTCAATCATCTCCTAGATACCTTCCTTGCTCTCACTTGGATGTATACAAATGGGTAAAGGGACATTGTAAAATGAGAGAGGATACATGGGAGCAATCATGCCAACTGCCTTAGTCATCTCTGTATTCTGTTCTTTTAAGATAATTGTTATATTCCAGTCATGAATCTTATCCACCAA